CAGCTGCATTAAAGGCCACAAGGTAGGTGGAGTGGAGATTTATCGCTACAGCAGTTTTTATACAGCCAATCCAAATAGATTTCACAAAGCAATGACCCTACCAAAACAGTAAATACTATTTACATATCCTCAAAGATTTCCAGGGCTGTGGATTTCCTCATAGAAGCATAGCATGTAATAGCAGGTATTTTAGATTTTGTCAAACAAGTTTCAGAATATTATTGAATCCGCAGCTCCATCTAGAGACCGCAAAACAGCTTGAGTGTTTTTCTGGCCTGCAGTTTAAAAGATTGTTTGAATAAATAATAAATAACAGAGAATAGCTGATTCAGTTTCATTGGAATTCTAGGAATGCTACCAAGGGCTTCTTCCTTTACTCAAAGCAGTATAAAACATCCCAATATGAAGTGCTAAATAAATATGTAAAAATGATTAATAAAAAATAATACTTTGAAAATATAAGTAAGCCAAGTGATGATTATATTAAGAACAGCTCACAATGATACTATTTGATTATTTATGTAAGAATAAACAAGTTTCCACTTCTGACAGATGACTTCATTTGATTTGTAAAGTAAATTTTAATGTGGGGATTGATTCTTCAATATCTACATACATGACCTAGATGGTGGGACTGAAGGGCACTTATCAAATTTGCGGATTACACAAAGCTGGGAGGAATTGCTAATGCTTTGGAAGATAGATTCAAAATTCAAAAAAATATTGACAAGGCCTGAACATTGGGCCCTGTCCAACAAGATGAATTTAAGCAGTGTGAAGATCTTTCACATAGGCAAGAAAAACCAGATGCACAAGCACAGGATAAACACTGGCTCAACAGTAGTATCTGTGAGAGGGCTTTAGGTGGCCGGGTGGACCACCATTTAAGTATGAGTCAGCAGTGTTCTGCAGCTGCCAAAAAAGCCAAGGTAATCCTAGGCTGCATCAAGAGAGAGATAGTATCAAGATTACAGGAAGCGATAGTACCGCTTTATACTGCACTAGTGAAGCCACATTTTGAATATTGTGTCCAGTTCTGATCATGATATAAAAAAGAACCCGAGACCCTGGAAAGATTGCAGAGAAGAGCAACAAAGATGATAAGGGATCTGGAGACCAAGGAGGAATTTCCTTACAGAATGATTAATCAGTAGAACAATTTATCTCCTGGAGTTGTAAGTACTCTCAACACTGGAGGTTTTTAAGAGATTGGACAACCAATCTGTTGGTTGTCCAAATGGTATAAGGCTTCTTGCCTGAGCTGGGGGATGGACTAGAAATCTTCCAAGGTCCCTTCCAACTCTGTTATTCTATTATAAGGACTCCCTTGGAAAAGGGGTTGGACTTAAAGAACTCCAAGATCCCTTCCAGTCCTATGATTCTATATACAATAAGGTCTAAAATTAAATCCAAGTTTATTCATACTTCAAGCAGGCCCATTGATTACAGTGGCATAAGCAAATTCTCAGTTTAACAGACCAATTTAGCATATTTTGAATATAATGGACAAACTGCATACATAAACTGTCCATAAACTGCATACAAAAAATAATTTCCAAAAGCAGAAAAGTAAGGTTAGGATTGCTGTTACTACTTTTTAAAGCAGTGGTTCTCAACCTGTGGGTCGGGACCCCATTTGGGGTCGAACGACCATTTCACGGGGGTCACCAAACAATGCAGTCCGCCATTTTTTTCCCCTTTTCCTTAGCTGTGCTACTCCCTTTTATTCTGTTGGCTTTTGAAAGCCAATAGAATAGACTCTCTTGAATAGAGTTTAATTCTATTGGCTTTCAAAAGCCAATAGGAATTGTCCGGGCTGTCTCTGCCCTGCTGAGCCCGCCAAAAGTCCCATTCTGCAAACGGTGCTGCACCAGTTGAGTAGTCCTCGACTTACGACCAGTTGGGGGTCGCGGCATTAAAAAGGTTGAGAACCACTGTTTTAAAGGGTGGATATGAATGCTTATATATTTTGTAAGATGGGATTTGGCTGAGAAAGCGATTTTCATGCCTAAAGTGGAATTAGAATTCACAATCTCTCAATTTCTAGCATTAACCACTAAACCAGTTTCTGGTTCCAATGACTGCTGGCTTGGCGTGATGACATTTGTAGTCTGGGTCATTTGAAGACCAACATATTGAGAAAGATTGTAGTAGGCGATTACTACCATTATTTCTCAACAGAAGTGTAATCCCATCTTCTAGAAAAGGGAAGAATTTTCAAACACTTTGTGAACCTTTTTTATTGTTTTTATTTAAAAGGAGAGAAAAGAAAGGAAAAGAAATATCCAGTAGCCAGTTTAAGATAATGATGATGAGCTCCACAACACATATTGATGAAAATATTTCCACTGTCATAATATTAGCAGATTTAAGAACTATTATTAATCCAATTATTTTTTAAAAAAATACAAAATCAGTATTTGACAAAGACTTGTTTCAAAAGTTTCATCTGAGTCCATGTGAAGGAACAGATTCAGGGAGGACCTCAGCAAGGAGGAGCTACTGTTTCAAAAAGAGGCCATCTTGTACCAAAGTAGTTTAGATAGCTTTGGCTGAGATAATCCTGAACATTGTAGTCCACAATCTGGGGATTCTCCTAGTTTCAAAACCTCCTATGAAAACAGAATGTGTTTTATAGTAAGATGAATCTTTGGCTAAGTCCAATTGGTTCATTAGTAGTGAATTTTCTTGGCCTAGGAGTCATAGCAATAGTGACTCATGCCTTCATCAGCTCGTACGGTAGTTAAAATACCTATAATTCAATCTATGTGGAATTATTCTTGAAGATCACTTGGAAACTACAGTTGGCATAGAATGAAACAAAAAGCTAAGGAAAATAGGACAAGAAAATCCTGCTGATGATATTACCTAGTCTGGTAATAAAACATTCAGAAAATAAATTGAAATAAGCTTGGAGAACAAACCACAGCTAAAATAGAATGCAATTTCCTATCCGCTGAATTATAGGTGATATAGCAGAGACACCCTTATGCTGTGGGAGCTGCACCAATTGGCTTCTGGGAAAACTTCAAGGTGCTGTTATCACCTATTGCATAAAGCCCTGTATGGTTGTTCTCATTATCTTCAGGATCATTCATCTTAGGTAGATTCTGTTTCTCTAATACTTGAAGCCTATGAAGCATGCTGTAATTTCCACACTCTGGATAGTTAAGGAGGGAGAAGTCGAGTAATGACCTTCTCAATCACAGAGCATTAAATGGGGGCAGCTTGCCTTATGAAGTCAGAGTAGTACCTTCTTATCATTCAAAATATTATTTAAACCTTATTTTCTACAGGATCTTTAGAGGGGAAAGCCCAAAATAAATTCGATAGCAGGAGATTGATTGATAGTGTTGCTGATTTTGTTTTTGTGTTGATTTAGTTGGTGTATTGGTTATAATTATAACTACAAGCCATCTAAAGTAGGTTGACTTAAAATGTTTAAATGAACAACTTACATAAACATCAAAGGCTTTTTCTCTTACAATTATGAAATCACTATTGATTTCAATTTTTATGTATATATCCATTATATTAGTAACATAGTATTATAAGACACTTCTCATTTATAAAACCAGATTGTGCCAGATGGATAATCAAGAATCGTATTACCTGAAAACTGCATGCTGGAGTCAGTCAGTATTTTGGCATCAGTATTAAGAAAGTTGTATAGTCAGCAGGTTCTTTAGAAGCTATCAAAATCACAGCTATTTAAGATTCACTAAGGCTAGGAAAAACGTTTTTCAAGAAAAGTGTTATAAAACTCCAGTTGTACTGGAAATTTCAATGTACATGTATGTATGTGATAGTTAATGTGATAAGTCATCAGGCTTAGAACTTTTCCTGCTTTTATGGATGTAATGGTATCACTAATTATTGGTTAAATTGAAATTAAATATTTTATCCCATTATCTTTGATAATAGAAATATTTGTTTAACTGCATTTATCAAGGGACCAATAGTTTATTGTGTCTTTCCTCTCACTACCAGTATATGTATTTAATGCACAGAAAGAATTAAATTTTTGCCCTACACTCCAAAAACCTTTATGTAATATGTATATATTATCACTTTGCATACAGAGAAAAATATTCTTTTTCTCAAAATTTCTTTTTTATTTTTTAATGAATCAAAATAATATAATCATGAAACTACTGAAATCTAGGGAGAAAAGTTTAAAACTCTTACTGCATATTTTTTGAAAACTGGATATTGTAATAATGATAAATTTAAATATCATCTAAAAAAATAGGAAGATCCTTGGGGTATGATAAGATTTATTTATTTATCCATCCATTTAACTAAACACCAAAATACTAAAAAATAATTGAATTGACAACAAATCTGGAGTTTAGTATGATCTTGCTATGTTAGATTTAAAAGCTGCCATCACTAAATAAAATTCTAATATAAAAACTTGCAAAATTTTTCATTTCAAGAATTAAATTTAGGTGGGTAATACTGTGATCTAATAAAGAAACCATATGATCTCCTCTACTAAAGTAAAAAGATGTTAGAACTCCTATGTGATATATCTGGATAATCCTTAGACCTTAAGTACAGTACATCTACCAAATTATTTAATAACCATTGTTATTTCTTGTTTATGATTAGAGCAGTAAATCAGAGACCCTATACATCTAGCAGATGTTGAATTTCCACAAAGATACACAATAACACAGGTCCTGCATATAGATTTCTTGTAAAAAAGCAATGTCAGATTTTAAATTGCACAATTTAATACTTATTAGAATATTTAAATCTTTTATATTCCAGGAAAGTAATAGTAATGTCATCTTAAATTAAAATTCAAAAGGGAGAGGGGTTAGGAAAAAAACCTACTTATGAAGAGTCTAATTTCAGGGATTTAAAAAATGGCTGATGTACATAATAATTTTGGAACTTGTCTACTACTATTTTGAGAGATTTTTTTTAAAAATTCTTCATATGATTTATTTCCCCGATTAAAAATAAGATAGTTGAAAGAAGATACATAAGCATCATATAAATTATTGTATTTATTTAAATATTTAAAGAGAACAGTACTATCCAAATCAAAAAAATGAAGAAATAGTGAATAAGGTTCGTTTAAAAACCACAATCATAACATATTAAATTTTTTCTACTTGACATATCTGCCATCAAGAAAATATATATGAATCCAGCACACAATTACTTGAATTTAATCCATTTGATTTACTAAATTATGACCTCCTATTTTTAAAGAGGCTAATAAACTCAATATCACTTGCTGGTCACTCAGCTAAAAAAATCATTCTACTTTTTTCCCTTTTATAAAATCAAATTAATCAAACTTACATAAAAATCAGTAAAAGTTTGGTGCTACTAAATTTGAGTAAACTAAATCATATTCAATATTTTAGACTGCATAATGCATCATAGTTTCCCTGGATGCACTAGATCGCATGCCTTTATCACCTTATACATTCAGTGATTAAGTGGGCTCTTGATAAAATATGAATATTCTAGATTTGTTTTAAGTGCATGTGGGATAAGACAGAAGTGCAGGCTGGGAAAAGATTTTTTAAAAAACCAACCATGGTATAACATTGTTCAGAATCGCTAATTCCCAATCCATTAAAAGCGGAGTAGGAGAATCAACTACTCTAGCTCTTAGATGGGCAGTGGAATCTCATCCCTGAGACTTATCAGGATTATAAACAACCTGAAAGCCAAACAATCCAAAGCTCTTTTCTGAATTGTCCCAGGACCAACCAATTTCAAGACATACCAATCATCTAAACACAGCTGATAATGGATCTATGACACCCTTCCTTTTCTGATGATCTCTTCCAGAACAACAAAATTGGAAGGATCTTAAAAGGTTATCTATTCAGTACAAGATCTGCTAGATTGTTCACCCACCTCTACTGAAGAACTTCACTGGAAAAAGAACTCATCACTTCATATGACAACTTATTCTACAGTCTCTGTGACTGTACATGACAGCTCATACAGTCAGAATGGTCCTCTTGTCATCTACCTTGAACCCATTCCTGTACTTTTAATCCACTTGTTTTGGCCCTGCCCTCTGTATAGAGAATGCATCCTCTCTTTCAACAGAGATCCACTTTCATCATTATCTCAGTTTTTAAGGTACAAAATCTTCATTTCTGCTTTGTACTCTGAACAAGCCATTAATATTATAGAAGGACCACAGAAAACAAAGAACGCAGTGCAAAATTGCTACAAGATTTCTCTAGTCAACCTAAATACCATGGGTTTTAATCATTTCATTTGGAAAAATATTTTTAAAAGAGATTCCAAAACCAAGCCAATTTTAATTCTCTTTCAAACCACTGCAACATTCACTATTGCAGCAACAGGTTTTGCAACCTATACATGTTCTAGGCATTAAAAAAGTATCAGCTAGAAAGAATAACATTAATTAAAATTCAGTGTTGCTTGTTATCTGGTTTCTTTAGCATAAAAATGGTATGTCTGGAGATATAACTGAAGGAGAAAGACTATACTTGAGAATGCTGGCTTTTTTTAAAAAAATGAAAGAATATATACAAGACTATATAAAATATATACACATATTCTACCAGTGACCAATTTGGGTCAAAATTCCACATAGCTACATTCTGTATAAAATATAAGCACTATTCCATGAAGTCCTTCCATGATATTCCCGTAGTATTCCCTTGAACCCAGTGAGAAATTGCTGTTAAGATGCCCATGCTGCCAGTTGCTGCATATCTTCATCATCTTCCACCCTCTTCTTTGAAGATGCTATAACAAAAGATAATAATTTTTCAACATACTAGAACAACAAAGATATAGTTTTGCAGTCTCTGGAAAGAATATTTGGATTAGAGGCATTGTGGCTAAAAATTAAAAGACATATTTTACAAGACACATCTTATAAAAAGATGACTTCAGTAAAACTATTCAATAAGAATTCCTTACATAGCTTTACATCAGATCAGAAGACCTGAATCCAGATGACCAAATCCAAGTTCAGCTTTGGCTACTGCCAAATTATTACTCCTTGTACAGTGTATTTTTTCAAAATATTATTACTCCTTGTACAGTGTATTTTTTCAAAATTAGTGGTCCTCGCTTCCAGTAATTGGAACTGAGGAGACCATCGCTAAGCAAGGAAGGAACATTATGTGATTGCACTGACTTATGATAGCAATTCCAGTTGCCATTTTTAGGCAAATCCCATGCAGTAGCAACATTCTGTAGTCAAGTGATCATCAAACTTTTTGCCAGCTTCCTCACTGACTTTGCTTGCTGAAAGCTGTGAATGAAGTTTGATCATTACATGACACAAGATACTGTGATGTCATAATTGTGAGCTGGTTGTCAGGTATCCAAATTGGCACCACGTGACCATGGGGACACTGCCAACAACCAAAACTATAAGTACTCTTCATTGACATCAAGAACTCATATCACTCTTAGATGTTAAGATAGCTACTATAATATCCAGGTATGTTAAATTTCTGTGATTTTTCCTTCTCTCCTTAATATTCTTATATCCTACTTTCATAATAGACTAATTAATATAAGAAAACAATTTACCAGGATGAGAAGGCAATTGGGTAGCTGGGACACTTGGTAAATGAACATTTTTCATCTTATTGTTGAGTTCCTCTTGCTCCAGTTCTTCTAATTCTTCCAAAAGTTCATCCTGAAAATTTAAAATTTGGCAGGTTATATTTCAATAAACAATGTCTAAAGTCAACAGAACCTCTAACTACAACAGTCTCACAATTGTAGCCAACCAAGTATAGCTGCCTTTATAAACTTTATAAAAGAAACTTTATAAGTTTATTTTAGGTTTTCAACACACCAGGAACCTATACAAATGGATACTTTTAGGACAAATAAATTTTATTGGAGATCTGTAGAACAGCAGGCAGAACTGATGGGCAGAGTTAAATGTGTCATCAGTTTAAAATCCTTGCATTGCCACAAGATATCCAGGTCCAGCCCCCCTTGAATTCCATTGACCCTTATTTAGCGCCAGTTTAGTACTGACCATTAATTGACCAGAGTCTTGTATATGAATAAATCTTCTATAATGCAATTTTACAAATGTACCTGATATTTTGCACCTGACGAGCTCAACCAAATATTTTAAGTAGCTATTGATTGATAAGAATAAAATAACATAACATAAAAAATATCAAAATTATATTATGGTACTTGACTAAAAATATATAGTTGAATACAAAATATAGTTGAATACAAAAAAAGGCTACAAGTATTTTTTTAAAAAAAGAGTTGTTCTACTTTGTGGTCATTCTATTATCCAAAAATGACTCGATGGCTTCACTCTTTCTGGTTTTGTATAGAGAAGCTATTGCTACATACTCATAGTTGCTTCAGTTTAGCGGTAGAAAATGACTCAATTTAAATGATATTAATGAATTCCACTCCAAATATCTCAATGTGTACTGAGCACGCTTACTAAATGTATTGAGGGCAAAAACAGAAAAGTGGGGAAAGAGGGATAGAACAAGACCTCTTGAAATCTGCCAACTATTATTCATCACAAGACACAAAGAAGAGGAGTCCATCTTGTATTCCATCTTTCATTATCTTCTTCATGGGCTAAAATAGGGAGCTTTTTCTATTTTCTGTGTTGAATCACAACCTCTAGATGAGGTCCTCAAAACAGAAGAGCTGGTTTGCAAGTATGGTGAAAATGGGAATAGACAAAAATACAGTAGCTTAACTATAATCTTCCCTCCTTGTATGTGACACAGCTTCCCTTAATGCCATATGAGGACAATGGAGTGTACTAGAAGAAGGCATGATTGACAAGCTAGAATAAAATTAGGAATATACCACACATTGCTACTACCTATGTAGACTCCATCTGATATGTCAAAAATTCAATTATTTTGTCAGAAATGGGAATATGTATTTGCACTGTTTTGACATAGCAATTTGCATTCTCTTTTGAATACTTTATTCAGGACAGTCCAGTCTCTATTTTTCAACAAATATTTCTTCAATCATTTGAGAATTGCATTTCAGGAAAAATGTTAAAGCACTTGGAAAAGAGCTAGACAACAATTATAGCAAATTTAAAATTAGCGGTATTAAAGTCAGGGACATTTTTTGTTCTTAGATGTCAAAACATACCTCATCAAAGTCATCACCAACCCTTCTTGTGAGAGCCTCTGTGATTTCTTGGGCAATATCTTGCTGCTCAGTGATATCTTGCATCATTTCATCAATTTTGTCCAAATCCCTAAGGATAGAAGGAAAGAAGGAATTATTTAATCAATTTGTATATCATGCTTCAAGACAGGATGGCAGAGTGGATTCCAATAAAATTATGAGAGTTTCATAAAAATCAATAATCATCAAAAAAAAGCAACAGCAAATACAGATTTAAATTTTGGGGGGGGGCAGTATTAAAGGTCTGGGGAAATAGTAAAGATATAATATTAAGTTATCTACTTTAATGAAGCACTTTAATAAACAAAGTATAATTAATAAATTCACATTCTTTATAAACCATTATCTTGGCTTATTAGTGTATTTAAAGGGCCATCAAAGGCAAATTTAGCCTGTGATAAGGTGAAAGTTGCAGGAAAATGCCTTCAGGTATTCAACTTCCAAATTCCATAACGGCTTTAAATCCTATAAAAGCCTTTGAACTGCTTACAAAAAGTAGTGAATTAAATTATTAATTAAGCAAAACAGGTATGTACATAAGGACAGTCCCAGTGAGTTTTCAAACAGTTTGCATTTTGGAGATTTGGAAAACTAATTGGGAATTTAAACATGGGTGTCCTAGAGATGGATAAGCCATAAAATAATTCTCTTTTATGCTCAGAACATCATGAACCATTTCCGGCTTTGAGGATTAACATATGTAAAGTCACTATACTATTTTTGGCATGGCTGAATTGGCAAGGTTCACAGAAGGACTAAACATTCAGAAGATTTCTGGAAGATTCTATTTTTCCAGAAATCTTCTGAATGTTTGATCCTTCTGTGAACCTTGCCAATTCAGCCATGCCAAAAATAGTATAGTGTGTACCTTCCAGATATACAAACTTCAATTCCCACAATTCTAAGGAATTACCATTGTAACAGAAGAATTCTGGAATTTGAATTCCATTCAACTTCAGGTATTCGATTTGGAGAAGGGCAATATAAAAGGGAAAAAAAGATGCTTATTGGTAGAGACATGCAGAAATTTCAGTTGCAGAAATATGTACAACTTGCAGTGATCTATGGTTCAGGCCACATTAATCTTATCTGCTGCTGGGTAGCTAAATCCCAGAAAAGAATTCAACTTTAGATTAATGTGTAACAGTAAAATCTTAGCAACTTTATCTATATCCAAAGACATATACAAGAATGGAACATCTTGGTTTTTATACAAGAAAGAAACCCACCAAATAGGTGTAAATGTAAGAGTTAAGGTTATTTTCTGTGGGGTTTGACAACTTTTTCCACTTACATGTTTTCATGTACTTTTTTCATGGCCTGAGCAGCATAGCCCATATTCTTGAATACTTCTGTATTTGTGTGAGAATTTTCAAGAGCCTCACGCTGGAATTCAATAGTGGAAAGAGTCCCATCAATTTGGCTCAACTGTTTTTCATACCTCTTTTTTCTTTTCAGTGCCTGCAGTGCAGCTGGTGAAGTAAGAACAGGGAAAAATATCTCATAAGTCAATGCAAAAGATATCTATATGGCTGCTTTAGATCTTAACATCAAATCAGAGACAGATTGCCACATTTACTGAGCAAGCAAATTCAGTGAAGCTAAATAAACAGAGAGGTGGGACATCTATCAGGACACCCAACTGGAGGGCACCTAGGTTAAGGAAAGCTATACTAAATTCCAAACCATCTTCCCAGCTTATTACAATAGGAAAAGAATTTGGTGATTCAAAGAGGTTAATTGTTCTTCCTTCTGAAAGGTACTGTATATTCCCTTTTTTCCCATTTAACAATAAAATTACTGCTATAAATCAGCAATATCTTTGGCTGTACACAATAAAGGTTAAGAGATGTGGTCTCCACCACATATTTTAGAACAGAGGTCCAACAATTTCTTGCCATTGGCTATAGTGGCTCAAGGCATCAGGTTACTTTTAAAACAAATAGAGGGTAGGAAGAATCCAAGATCACTTTGGATAATGATATGGGTAGTATATAAATTAATAAATAAGTAAATTTCCTTATTGTGGCTGAATGCAATGTTCTTAATCAACATAGCAAATTTAGTGACAGCCCCCCCCCTCAAATTAAAAGAAAAAGATTGTTCTTTGATAATGGCCATTTATTGATACTGAGGCATACAGAAGCAGGAAGAAGAAATAAAATAGAAGCAGTTTGTAACAGAGACTGAGATATAGAGAAGCAGCTAGCTAAAGGCTGAAAATATCTTGGATATGTATTAGAAGCACAATTTCTCTATGGAACATCTTCTCTTTGCTACAAGGTTATTTTGATTTTTTTCTCCATCCTATAAAAGTCACCATTGAACTCTTCCTTCAAAAGAAGCCAAACTCTAGCATCCTTGAACATCTCATTTTGAGGGAGATGTTGGGAACATACTAATTGGAAAAGTACAACAACTTATAACAAAGACCGGTGTGCAGAAATATTGCCTCCATTCACATTTAAAAACTGGAAAGATGAGTCAGATGTGACTATAGCCATCACTCCAAAACAAAAAAAAAATGAAGAATCAAGGGAACTCTCAAGTTTATAGGGCCCAAAGTATGAGAATTTGAAACTTCAAGAGTTTTTTAGTCCTATTAGACCAGGTAGACAACTACCACATATCCTAAGGTCATGTCACATTTTTTAAAAGCATTAACTTGTGACCTCAAAATATTTAGAAATAAAAGTTTTAGGAGACTACTTTAACTTGAACACATCTATAGTTCTTTTTAGGACAGATATCATTCCCTGATCTCACATATGAGCTCCCAGCTATGGGGAACCCATAAATTTAATAAATAAATAACTTACTTGCAATAGTGGCAAATATCTGTATAAATAAATATTAAACAAATTCCTAATTATCAAACTGCATGAGATTTTGGTATTTTTGTCACAAAACTGGAAATAAATTGTTAACCATAATTTGGGTAAATTTAATTTTAGAAATTGTAATTGGACACAAGTATCATTTTGTAAAAAACACTGCCACTCCCTGTTCTGAACTATACATGGATAAGAATATATAACTACTTTGCTTTTATGCAATACTGTCCCCACGGTTTCCAAAGTTTAATACTAGTCAATGAACAAATTAGCACTGTAAAATCAAAAACTGAACTATTTAATTCAGAATCACCGCAAGTATGATCTGACAGCAATGGAGACAGACTTTAAGGCAATGATTCTTAACTTCAACAACTTTCAAACGTGTGGACTTCAACTTCCATCTGACAGTTGCTGATATTGAGAACACTAGTCTGAGAATTTTGATAATAACACTACTTTATGCGGTAAATGTGCATGTCTTGTTTATTGGACTGGCAAATAAACCAAGTCCTAACCCCTAGATTTGACAGTACTGGAAATAAACTTACATCAGAGAAACTCTGAGACTGGAAAAAGAAGATCCCACTCCAAACAGTCAGAAAAAGTAGAAAGCCAGATAAGGAGAATCAGAGACTAATCTGAAATAAACATAATGCCACAAGTCATAATTCTACATAATTTTGTTTTAAAACCATGCCATGATTTGTGGAAATCAGAAAATCTTTAGTTTGTATAAAGATTATAAAATGTATAAGATTATGATTTACATTATAAAATTTAAAGATTTTCTTTGTGTGTGTATATACATACATACATATTTTCTGACATGCATTTTTTCCTTAAAAAATGAGTTTCAAGCAAGCACAGGATTTATTATAGAGATTATATTTATAGACATTTTGGGTACTTGTCCAGTTAAGAGCCAAAGAAAATGAGATCAATAGTGTTTTCTCACAAATAGTTGCATACATTAAAACTACCATTATAACCATAATCAATGCTTTGATCATGACATAATAGAAGGCAGGTGCCAGGAAAGATACATAAAAATTCAAAATTTCATTAATTTCTGCAAACATGACAAAACCTCCTAAATCCTCATAATATTTATTTACTGTTATTTATGAAGAATTATAGGCTGATTTAACTGCAAATACTCTAAATCAGGCATGTCAAACTCGCAAGTCACATGATGTCGCGCAATGTATTGGGCCAATTTGACACCCCTGCTCTAAATAATGTACATTCTGAATTGATGGGATTTAAAAAAAAAAACAAATATAATAATATAAAAGAAAAGGTAATAATCGTAATAGCCTTCACCCAGATTACAGTGAAAATATTATTTTCCACAATAAAATCCATATTGCAGAGTGAGAACCTAGGAAATAGCCCACTTATCAGCCATTCTGGGAGAGCTGCCAAGAAACAACAACTGGTTTTCCAGAGAGAAAGAACAAAAAGCTCCTTTACATAAACAGACCTGGGGTCTCTAGTTTCCACTAACATTTGCAAGTTTGAATTGCATTTATTTTGTGTTTTCTTAAAACTTAACTAGATAGAATATTGAACAACAACTGATGAACGGTTTTAAATTCTACTTGTAAAAATAGTATCAAGTGAAAATTAAGCTATACCCTGAAAGGAGATTCTGGAATTTTGTAGTTTATAAAATAAAAAGGCCTCGTGTCCTGTTCCTACCAACCAATGTTTCCATAAGCAGCTACACACAGAACTACTTTAATCATTTAAACACTAAATATCTAATTGAATTTGAAAAGTGGTAGATAGGCTATAGTCCACATCTATGAAAATATTTATTCTCATGATGCTTGTGTTGTGAGTGCCTCATATGTGCCTCCATGTACAGTCTACAACTCAATTAGTTTGCAAGGTTATTAATGATTTAAAGATAATTACATAAAGGGAACTAAAATGATCATGCTTTAAATCAGAGTTCATCCATAACTCAAAAGATTTTTTTTGTTTTCAATTATCACCAAACTAAAAATTCAAAGGAGTAACTTCCTACTAGTTGACACTTTTATTCAGTAACTCCTACATGAAGATGTTTTTTTACACAGTGCAAAACTCAAAAATAATGGAATTGAAATAATAAACAATATATTCATTTTAGCTTCTCTCTTGTGTTTTTGAGACAAAGATGTAACGGTTACTACAACTGGAAAAAATAATTATGAAGAGAATATATTTAAGATATTTATATTATACCCGATTTCTAAAATTTTATATTACACCTGATTTCTAAAATTTCTAGGCAATGTATAGCAAAACTGAATACAATAAAAAAATAAAAACGAACATTGAAGCTAAAACAAAAGAGAGTAAGAGGAAACTATTAGATTCCAAAAGCATTTGAACAGAAGGTTGGAAAGCTGAGGAAAATAGCTTTAGACTTATAGACTTATACAGATAATCTTCAATTACAACCATTCAGTGACCATTCAAAGTTACGATGCCATCAAATAAAGTGACACATTATTGGTCTTTGCACATACAACTGTTGCACCATCTCTGTAGTCACATGATCACAGTTCAGATTTTGTGTTCCTAACTAAAGTTGTCCTTTCTCAAAAAGCAGAAAACAAAAGTTTCCTGTTAATATTTACCATTTTTGCCTTGAGTGACAAATGATAGAAAGGATGGGGGAGTTTATCAAAGCTAAATCTTGTACCACTATCCCATATCATAAGCAAACAAGAGTCAGCAGTTAATAAGACTTCTATGTAGCACCAAAAATCCTATTTAAGCATCTTCGATTGCAATTAGACTTTATCAGGGCTTTTTTTGTCATAAAACGCCCAGAACGGAGTTCCGGCACCTTTTTTGGATGGAACCTTGTAGGGTAGGCAAGGTGGGTTGTATGACGTGTGTGAGTTCCGGCACCTTTTTTTTTTTTAAGAAAAAGAGCACTGGACTTTATACATCAAAGCTATAAATGAGGAGGGAAGTTATTCCTTTATAATAAGAATTCAGTAAAGTATTTTCTCTGTTCACGTGTTTAAAGTCTGCAGATTGACTGGAAAAATGGCTTTCTCTCAAGACTAGGAGAAAAGTAACATATTTTGTTACATAGCTTTCTGGTCTACTTCGCAATCTCTGTTTGTGAATGTGCAGCCAGGCTTATTCTGTGGTAACTTGAAACTCCTCTGCTGTTATTCAACTTCAGTAGCAAGTCATGGCAACGTCATCACTTGGATGCTAATCATCATCAAGAGGTTTGCAACACATTCACTCACAGCTATCTTGCTATTACCATTGGAGTATTTTCCTGAAGTTTACCAAAAGCAATTTACTATGCCTCTTTGGGACCAAATTGTTGATAGTATTCATGAGAAACACTATAATTATCCTATTAGAGCACATTTTCCTGGATTTCAAACGCATCTAAATTCTATAGATATTCAAATCTTTGGAAGTATGAAGGGTTATCAGGATATATTAAGGCTTTGCCCATTTCATCCACAACCTCTGCCTGTTTGACACAAATGGAAATTTAACTGAATGTGGCGGCAGGATTCTCAGACTGCAGGTTGGCAATAGCAACTGGGACTGGGATGGAGTGGAGTGGAGTGGCTACGGCATCCTCGTGCATAGGTATAGGCTAGCCAAAG